AAATAGAAACAACAATGAGCACACAAACAAGAAAAACCTACCAAATGAAAATTTCGGTCAACTAGCCATTCATATATAGGATTGGAAAAAACGAGAGATCAGTAACTTTAACAAGGCCGTGTGGCTGTGGCCAATTTCTACAAAAAGGAAAGCATCGAATTTCTCTCATCCACACAAAGTTAGGGATATCAAGGAGTAGTTTATTCTGATGTCATGACAACAAATTAGATATCTATAACAATCAATTAGAATATTCCCCTAAAAAAGGTATAATATTCCCGAACAACATCGTCAATCCCTTTCCCCTCCCCTTGTGCAACAAATTAGATATCTATAACAATCAAATGTTCTCTTTAAGAATGCGATTACCAGTCTAGCCATTCATAGATCAACAAGAATGCATCGAAACATGGAGTGGCAACTTTACGAGGTCAAATGGCTTTGGCAAATTCCTACCAAAAGGAAAAAAAGGGAACCAGTTCTCTTGTCTCTGCCAAGTCGTGGATATCAAGAAGTTTATTCTGATATCATTTCCGCGAATTAGATATCTATAAAACAATGAGACCTTCCCCTCAAATGGTCTATTATTTCCCAAACAACACTGTCGCTCACCCTTCCCGTCTCCTCTTGCGCAACAAATTAATATCTATAACAATCAAAATCATGGGTCCTAGTGTTAATAAAATGCTCTCTCTTTAAGAATTGAATGAAACAAGAATCAGAAAGACATTAACTGCATCAAAGTTTAGAATTTAGCTGACTCACTATTCCATCCTTCAGGTTTTCCAGCTAAGTTTTTCGAAACAGCTCTCAGAGAGTAAATTTCAACACTGCATATACAAAACCCACCTCAATTACTACCACAAACAAAACTCTTAGCACCACAATCACAAAACCAAAAAAGAAGAAGAGAGAAATACATACATCCCAGATGAAGCTTGAGGCCTATCAACATTTGCAGCATCAAGAAACTTGAGGGCATCCCAAACCTCTTTGTAAGACAGTGACTGATGCTTGGCGATAACAGAATAAAGCTTTTTTTTCAGTGCTTTCCCCTTTAATCCCTTCACACTTGCATAGTAACTGCTAACATCCTCACATCCATACGAAGAAGTATATAAAGATGGATAATCTTGAGCCAGTGCTACAAGATTGAGGCAACACAACAAGTAAATGGAGATGACTTTAGACACCCCCCATCTCCATAACAAACCTCTGGCACAAGTACTGGTGCTGTTGCTTCTTTGAATATGGATAAGTTTGAGGGCAGCGTGTGCCCTAAGTGAGGAAGACTTGTGCTTGAGTGTGAAAGAGGGATTGGCTGTGAGGTTGTATCTCCTGTCAGCTACTGGAAGATTGGAGCAGCAACCAGTAAACAGAAGCCCCTGCAACTGCATGTTTGGACTTCGTTCCTTTTCGAAGGAAACAGGATAAAATACTATCGAGTAAATTATTTCTCGGTCACTATTTTCTAAATTATGTTATAATTTAGTACTTGTTCTTTAAAAACTTATATCTTAGTCCCTTGACTCTTATTAACCATTGTCTTATTATAACATCTTAGAGTCTAGGAGAAAATCATTTCCTTTTTTTCATTTCTATTTTTTCTTTCCTTTCCTTTTCCAATTTTTGTTTTTAAACTGAAAAGTTAAAAAAACTTGTTCATTTGTTACAACATTATTTTTTTTTTACCAAAAGAATAAAAAGTATATGACAAGATTACATTTTTTCATAAAAAACTTCAAAATCATGATTTATAACATTAGTCTTAATATTTTATATTTGTGATATTCTAATTATAAAATATCAATTTTATTTTATCCAAATTAAGAATTATTATGAAAAATTTATACTCGTTAACTTAAAAAACATCTTCTATATGAGTTTTATAATAAAAAAAATAGGTAAATTTATAGCACTTAATAAATATAAAAACACAAAATTAATATTTTCCACAGTTAAAAAAAGCTTGTTATAAAATAAAATATTATATTACTCAATGAAAAACTGAAAAAACTTGTGATGAAAAACTGCAAATCATTTTTTTTAAATCAGTATAAATTTAAGGAACTTATTTCAAATAAAAAACAAATATTATAAATGAATAGAAAGTTTCAATTTTTCTTAATGACATGTATGATATTTAGAAAAATATCAACAAATGTGTTGATAAATCAACTGTCAATCGGAGTTAAGGGACTAATTGTTATTGTAATATAACCTTGATAAATTAATAAATTTAATAAAATAATATTTTTGTTTGGTTTTTACTTGAATTAAAATTTTACATAATATCTTGAGTAATTATTAATTTTTCATGGTCTCTAAATTAATAACTTTTATAAAATAATATTTTTATTTGGTTTTGATTTAAATTTTAAATTTAAATAATATCTCAATGAATTATTAAATTTGCATGGTCCTAGGGTAATAATTTATAGAAATTTAACTGTAATAAGTTTTCCAACATTTAGAGACCAGCTTATAAGTTATAGGAGCTCTGAAAGTGGATTGAATTTGTTGATATTTATATTTTATTTATTATTTATTAAATACAAAATTTAGATATTTAAAAATTATTCATTTTATTTTTTATATTTAATGAATATCTTTTATTTATTAATCAATAAAAAATAAAAAAAAATATTATGTAGATATTAAAGTAAGTATATATTATATTATATTAAAAATAAATAAATAAATATTCTAAAAATATATTTATATAATATATATTCCAGGTTAACTTCGGGTAAATTTTAGGTTAAGTTTAACAGTATTTATATTATATTCATTATTGATCGAGTTCAAAACATACCCATTTATTCAACTTCGTTCAGAATTCATCATATTTATATTAAATTATCATTCTTAATGAAGATATTAAACAATGCCTTTCACGAGAGATATTATTTAGTATTGCGGTATCTTTTTGCTTTTTTCTAATGAAAAAATTGTTTGGTTAACCTAAATAATTTTTTTTATACATTAAACCTCATAAATAATTGCATTTTAAATTTTGATTATGTAGAAGTTAAAATAACCTGCTTTTAATTTATGGAGACTTACCTTTTATTTTATTTACATGTAAAAATACATCTTATAATATTTTTAATCAAATATATATTTTTATTTAAATTTTTAATAGTAAAACTAAAAATATTTTTTTAAAATCATTAAAATTTAGGGGTGAGAAAATAAACCAAAAAACATATTAAACTGAGAAAACTGGAAAAACAATAACTAAAAAAACTAAATCATGAAAAAAATTATAATTTTTAAAAAATTGACAGGTTTGGTTAGGTTTTATAATACCGAAACTGAAAAAACCGAACCAAATCAAAATAAAAAATTAAACTAAAATAAAAAAATCAAGTTAAACTGAAAAAAAACCGAGTCAAACCAAGACAAACATGTTTAAATCAATTTTATTTTAAAATAACTAAATTAAAACTAAACCAATCAGTTTGAACTAATTTTATATTTAATAAAATAGTAGAAATTAAACTAATATTAAAATGATCACCCTTAGTGGCAATCAAACTACAAACATGAAGTCGCATTTAAGTTGACTGGATGAATATGCTTTTGGTATCATAGCTTTCTTCTGCAAGATAATTAAAGAGACAAACCTTCTTTTAATCAAGATCTATGAACCGCACGCAAAAGAAGTCACCAGGATACATTATCCAAAAAAAAACTAAGCTCTTTATGTCCTAGGATACATATTAGTATTCATTATACAAATAGTATAATTACTATATTACTCAGCAATTTTATATTTTGTCTTTATTTTAGGATAAGATGATATTTTCATTATAACATAAATATCTTTTAAAAATTATAAGAGGTTATTTTGGTAATTTTATTTTTAATGCATATTAAAACTACTAATACAACCCTTAAATAAAATATTCAAATGCTTTCTAGACAAAAACATTTTTATATTTAATGAAATAATAGAATTATTACATTACTCTTACCATTCAAATTTTTAGCCTTGATTTCATTATAACATATTTGTTATTATTATTAAGTCTTAACAGTGTTTTTGGATTTATATAAATTAAAAAAATATATAAAAAAATTATTAACGATAACATAACTGGCTTTTGTTGTATCCTTACTTAAGCCAACCATAAGCATGCCCCACAACTAATAGAACCAGTTTAATGCCCCACAACTAATAGAACCAGTTTAATTAAATTGTATCCTTTTTAGTTTTTTCTATTAAATTTTATTTTTATTTTTTTGTTGTTTTAATAGTTTTTTTTTGTTAATATTTTTCTATCAATCTTATTTTTTAAAATTAAATTAATTAAAAATTATATTTTTTTATTGAAGTTGAATAATTTTTTTCATAAAATACGATATTTAGATATTATATTAAGTTTAAAAAGTTTGTCATGATTGTCACATTTTTTTTTTACTTTTGTTTTTTTGAGTTTAATTCTCTTTTTTTTTAAAAAAAAAACCTTTTGTTTTCTTATCTTCTTGGCTGGATTCTATCAAATTAGCCCTTAATATTTTTTTATTTATTATTTTTTAATTTATAAATAATTTATTATATTACAAATAATTTTTAATTTCACTCATATAATTTTTAATCTTGAGTCCTTGTACTTTTAATTATATATTTTTTTGAAATAATTTTTTTAAAATTTCATTCTTATTGGTTTTTTTCCATTAGATTTTAACTTCAATTTTTTTTTCAGTAGTTCCTTTTATTTTGCAATTTTTTATTAATAATTTTTTCAATCATTTATTCTTTAAAATTAAATTAAAATAAAAAACATTTAAGCTTCTTAATTAAACTTTAACAAGTTTTAAAAAATTCACCTAGATTTACATATCTTCCCCTTATGTTTTTTTTTTTTTTAAACTAATGTTTTCTATTTTTTTTATATTATTTAAATCATCACTTTTAACCAATAACTTGAGACACAAATTTTTTTGACCTGTCACTTTCTTTACATAAAAAAATTTGTTTGGCCGCGCAAAGGAAGGACATCATATCTAGTTTGATACTAACCAGTCGAGGATCTAAGATGGTTTATCAGCAACATAGCATGATAAGTGGTTCTAAAGGATGGGGTGAAGGGATGGAGGAAACTCCAAAATTCGGTTCCAGAAAATTCAAATGCCTTGAATGTCACAAGCTCAATCTCTTACTAATAATTTTTTACTTCTATGGTCAAATCTATCCCTCAAGACTCAAGATTGCAGTTCAACAACCAAATCCCTTCTCCTCCTCAGTGGAATGAAACACTTCACCACCTGTTATTTGGTGGCTTGACCTTGTAAATACGAACAATCCAATTAGATGTCGTAAATGCCTCTTCCAAGTGTTCAAGTTTAATGTCCTTGTTTCCAATTTCGACCCCCCTAGCTCGATCATACCTGCCAAAGCACAGATCAATTACAAAAAAGAAGAAAAACAAAGGGAACGATCAACTTCACAGAACGAAAGAGAGTCCAAACAGTAATCACGAGGCAGTCACTTCCAGAAATACTCCAACCAACCACACCCAGTGCATGTAAATTCTAAACAAATTGAGAACGAAGGCAATGGATGTTGAGCTTACCCTGGAGGTTTCCCATATTCTGTCACCAGCTCTCCAAATCGATAGTAGGATAGCTTGTACCTATTCACCAACAATACATGGTATAACTTCTCTAAACTACAAAAATCGAACTGCACTGGGTAACACGTGATCACTATACAATCATAATTCAATGAGGCCAGACTTTCTCAATGTTGGAACTCAAACTTTTCCTTGGTTCACAATAATGTCAAAGGTCAAAATAGCAGATCAAGTAAAGTAGCGCAATAGAATTATCAAGAAAGACATAGTTACAGCCAAAGGTATTAGATGTAACAACGGCATGGAATTTTAGAGGAAAATGAAAATATAAAGATTCAAAACCAAAATATTGGCAGGTAATTTTGCGTGTAGGACGCATGTATCTTTTACTATAAGGCATGATTTGACACAGAAAAGAAGGGCTGTTTTGGTACAGCTATTAAAATAAGTTGGCATGACAACCCCAATGTAATGCAGAAAATTGCACGAAAAAGACATTCCAATAGACTTATATGAGCGTAAATCTTTATGATTCTGATGTGGGTATATGCAGTGCTCATATCAGAATTCCATATCCTATAATGAATGAAGGATGCAATGAGAATACAGAGGAAAGGCACCTTCAAACTCCTCACTCTCACAAACTACATGAGATCTGACAATTTTTGCAGTCTCTATGGGCAAAACTTGGAAGGAACCATATTTCAGTTTATATCAGGGGAAAAAAAGAAGAATAAATAACAAATACTAAAACATAAAACAAGACTAATCAAGCAAATTTGAAACACGAATAAGAAACAGCAACTTACATGAGACAGTTCAACATCTTGGGAGCTGCACCTTTGTCAACACGATACTCTCCATTGACAAGATAGTCGGGTTCCTTAATTACAGGGAATACTCCGCCTCCAATTCTCACCATCCATAAAAACCTGGTGCAAATGAATAACTTTAGTAGATACATGAAAAACTACACTACCCACAAACATTAAGAAGATCGGTGTTATCAAAGTTGTTGCCCAGAGAAACTCATAAACCAGAAATGAGAATAGCAGTGCAGACCATAATTGAAAGCTTCAGCAATCAGTCCAGAATAAGAAATGTTTCACACAGTCTAAGTTTAATATGGGAGGGAAAATGAATTTAAGATTACATAAAGCCACTCCTGCCTGAACCAATTAGAATATGGTTCAAGGGTTAGGTAATGTCAACGGTATATGCCACACTTTTCAAATTCAAATTATTTAGAAGAACACAAACTATGGACTGTAAACTGATTCAGGATCTTATAAAATGCAGATAATGTTCAATTAAAAACATTGGAGCCTTACTTGTTGATATCATCAGAAGAATAGCCTGTGACACCCCCAAAGACAACTAGCACATAATCCACATCAAGTGATTTCATTATCTCATACGCCTCATCTTCATAAGATGACATTGCACGGCCAACAGTGGCAATGTGTGTATTGTTCCAGGTATTATTGTCAACAATAACTGTTCTGTTCCCCATGGCAGTGATTTGATACCCATAATCCCACCATGACATCACCTTAGCATCTGGAGGAGTATTCTGTCGAAGCCAATAGTATGCCTCACGGTAATCATCAAAGATGACCCTGTTACCATGGGCACCCCTTGCAGCCAAGACAATTGAAGGAGACGAGTAGGCCTCTGATGTAACCCAGGTACAATGTATGGCATACCTACTGAGCGAGTAAAATGTAACCAAAAGCAATGCAATAGCACCATTTCTTTGAAAAGGTTGAGACTGATCAAGCGAAGCCTGCTCACACATCAAATAAAACCAGCATTATATAAAATAATAACCAGAATAAAGCAAAAGGAAACCTCCCTCCAATACAATAGCACTCAATAGGAGTATTATTCAAAAAGTTGTATTGGTCCAAATGTACTGGAGAGGGTAATGACCATGACCAAATAATGGCAGCATTACTGAAATCAAAGCTTCATAATTCATTCAACGCTATAAAGTAGCTCATCAAAAATCACTTTCTTGCCAATTCCCAGTGAAGGAGTGGCCAATAACATTAACACCATCATATAAATGCAACTCCAAACTCTTAAACACAAGGCAATTAACATTATCAAAACTACGAAACAAGAACAGCAATGCAAACCGATAGCTTCATTAGAAAACACCATCAGCAAAAACTCTTTGACTAAAAGGAGGTTGTCTTGAGATCAGCAGCAAGTCCTAGCATAAGTAAAATATATATAGAGAAGTCACACTAAAACTGCTGACCCTTAAAGCAGAGTTGAGCATGGCTGAACAATAATGAAAGGTGTCCTAAAATCAACTTTAGACATTATCCCACAAGCGATGCAGAATAGCAACATTATTTAGATAAGTTGGTTTTCCAATATAGATAACAAGCTCATTGGCAAGCAGATTCTGTCAGGCATCTAATTTATTAAGGACAGTTGACACAGATAAAGAGAATATAAATATTCATTTCAGCAACAATACAACCAGTCATCTTCACAACCAATCAAAAGAATGGAGGGGCAAAAAAACTCTAATCAAGTGTAAAGAACTCACCTTAGAAGAAGCCTTTCCACCACCTGTTCCCTTAGTAGAACCAGTTTGGGAAACCTTGCTCTTAGTCCTTAACAACATAGTCAAATTCTTTATAGTGGCAGAAACGGCAATGGCGCTAATTAAGCATACCGCAGGTGTAGCAACAAGAATTAACCGAACCATGACACCAGCAAAATACATGCTTGTTAGGCCATACATAGCAATGAATATTGTGGCATCTGACAGCCGCTTGAAGCAGAAATACAGACCAGCAGGGAAAAGGAAAAGGAGGATGTGGAAATCAAACATGAAAGATGACCAAGCTGTTGGCTGATGCTCAGAGACAGATGCAATGATGGGGATGTGATCCTTAGCATATGTTGGATCCAACAAAGAGTAAAATCTGCCAGTCCACGGTGAAATATACCCAGATGCTGTGCCAACTCCAAGAGCAATAGCACCTACACCCACTGCACAGGTCACAGTAATCCTCAAGAAGGCTTCAAACAACTTTTTATCATTTAGCAGATACTTAACCCAATCTAAGAAATAAAACACCTGAAAAAATAGTTCAGTGTTAGTGCATATCCAAAGAAAAATAGCGTTTTTGCTCTGATTAACATAGTTAAAGCCTATAATGACAATATAAGCTAGACAAATATCATATACAGTTACATAAATCTAAGAAATAGAGTTGAAGACTCCACAAGCATCAAACTTCACATTTTTGTGAGTATCCGGAAAAATCAAGCAAATGGATTAGATTGAGAGACTAAAGCAAAACGGATGCCATGTTTAAACTGTGAAGACATCAAAACAAAAAACACCTTCGAATTTCAGTAGTTTAACACTAGTAACAAAATCTCATTCTTAAGCTCAAGATAACAACAATATCAATTCAAGGACTGTCAATTCATAGTACTCCATTTAGAAAAACCTTCTGTTACTTGGCCTCATCCTTATCTACAAGAAACCCAACACAATACAAGCAATTAAGGCAAACTACACAAATCCACTTAAAATCATTACAGCAAGTAGTAAAAGAAAGGATTTAAGCATCAAACCTGCATCAGGAAGAACACACCCATAGCTGCCATGTGCTCACCGGACTGCACATGTTGAAACCCCACAAACCGAATCTGCATAGCAAGCAACATTCCCAACACATACATACAATTATAGGCCACATACAACCTCATCGAATACCTCCCGGTAATCAGCAACACCAGCACATAAAGCGGTATCAAATTAATAATAAAAACATAACCTCCCCATGCAGAAACCATATAAAAATACCCAAAAGCCGACGCCAATCCCCACGCTAAAGACCCCGTATTCACTGCCTTAACAAACAAATAAAAAGTCAGCAACAATGCGAAAATCGCAACCCCTTCATTATCATAAGACCCTGCAACAGATCGCGATATATAACCAGGACAAATCGCAATCAAAACAGCAGCAAGCAACCCAGCACCAGTGTCCCATATCTCTTTTCCGAAAAAATACGCAACAAGCGTAGTATTCGACGCAAAAAAGGGTGCTGTCAACACACAAACTTCGCGAATATGAACAGCAAAACGTAAGAATCGTAAACCCCAGTACATAATGGCCGCAGTAACCATCAATCCAGGATAAAGGGTTCCTCCAATGATACGTCCAAGAGGGTACCAACTCTCGGAATCGAACCAATTCCAGAATTCATAAAAACCCTTTTGAGTTAAGAACAGGGTAGTTCGATAATTGAAGTAAGGATCGAATTCATGGATCATTGACTCATAACGTAAGACACTAAACAAACGAGTGATAAAAGCTAAAACATAGACTAAACAGAGTATTGAGACACGGATGAGGAGTTCTTGTTGTTTGGTCTTGAGTTTCAGTGATTTGAGCGATAGTGTTGACTGCAGATCCGATTTAAGAGACATTGATGATGGTGGTCCTGATGATTTTGCTGTGCTGCCGCTTATGGGTTCTGTTTTGGTGACTGCCATGGTTTGTTTCTGGAGAGAAATTGAACAGGGGCTTGGTGATTCTTATGGTTTTGACATTTTTAAGGTTTCATGATAGTGTCTGGAGTTTGAGCTCTGGGGTTTCAAGGAGAAGTGATGTGATGTTATGTTTTTTTTTTTTTTTTTTTTTAGTAAAGCCCTAATACATAGTAGAGAGTGTGATTAGAGTAGGGGCTAATTAAGTTTTGTTTGGGGAAGTAAGGGTTAAATGAAGTTTAATGATAATCCAAGTGGATTAGAGATGGGATGGATGATTTGTCAATTTATGATTGGCATATTCTAGGATAAAGGAACGAGACCAAGACTTTTTTTATTTGGGATCTTATTTGCTAGAATAAATAAATAAGCGAGCATGATAAAGAATACCAAATAAATAAAAAATGGAATATAAGGTAGGAATTTTCGGTCGTATAAGAACGTAATGAAAGTGAGAGAAATTTGGGGGGAGAGAGAGAGAGAGAGAATAACTTGCACAAAGAAGGGGGAGAAAATTCGAAAAAATAAAATAAAATAAAATAACATCTCTCTCTCCCCCCCATAATCAGCCAGCACCGCCTACCATAGTGACCGCCTATCCATCTCCTCCCGTCGACAAATGGCTGCCCAGTATCTCTCTTTATTTTCCGACGGACGAGTAGCCCCCTCTCCTCTATTTCTTGGCCAAAACATCTTATCCGCCACGAAAACCGACCATCAAACATCACCAACCACTGTGACCCACCTTTTTCTCTCCATCAAAACACGTCTAGCCCAAAAATAAACAACGGTGGAGAGAGAGAAAGGACATGCTAGAAATCGACTCCGATCTCGCTCATAGAGTGATGGTGGTCTTAATCACTGGCATGGGAGTGACAAGGAGCGGGAGACATTGATGGTCAACCCCAAAATGCACCTACAGTCATGGTAGCGCATGGGTCCACCCACCACTACTATTTGAGTCCGCTGCCAACAATTTCTCGATCGTTCCAACAACTTCATTTTGATTCCTACCACTCCAAAAGTTTGATTTTGAACCCCAATGAGTTTTTGAATTTTTTTTGACATGTTATTGAATTTCTGTAACCAAATATTGGTTATTGTTGAGGATTTTTAATTGATTATGTATTATTGTAATTATTGAATAATACTTGAACTGTTGGGTTCAACCTTGAGGCTGTGATGCCACCGGGGAATTTATTTTCAAGGTGGAATGAGGTTGGAATTAATACATGAAGTTGAGAGGATTGAGTTATAACTAGTGCAAATTAACAATGTATATATAACAATGAATTAGAAGTTGGCGTTTTTTTAGAATTTATAAGGGAAAATCATGCAAATTAGTTAAACAAGTCACGGGGTACCGATTGTGTTGTGACTTATTTTTTACCCTGAAAAAATAAAATAAAATTCAAAATCTAAGAGAATATATGCATGAAGAAAAACACAGAAGATTTTTCCAGATGTGGTTGAATGGACTACAGATTGCATGAACATGAGAAGAATTAAAAACAATTTAAAAAGGCTATGATCTCTAATCCAGCAGGCATCACCCAATGAGAACACATACATTGGTAGAGCAGCACCATCGGGATCGTCACGCAGCTAAGTTTTCCTGTTTCGTAGGAGGGAACCTCTCATCTTCCAAGAACGGCACCAAGTGGTCACCATGGACTCCAAAAGTGCTTATCTCGGTTAACCCGCGAACTCGGTCACCGGAACATTGTAGAGGTAATGAAAACTGCCTAGACTGCTCACTTTCAAAATCAAAAACACATATAAACCCATATGGGCCTAAATAGTAGTGAACTGTATGCAAAGATCCATGCAAAAAGGCACCACCATATCTATCCAGCCGACAAACCTTGCTAGGAGCATTTCCACCGCTTCTCCACTGTCCCGTGTCGATTGTGTCTTTCAGCACTGTAACATTTGTAACTTTTTCCATAACAGAAGAGTTGAATTACTTCGTATTGTTTGCTCAAAGCACTGATTCCGAAACCCAGACTTATGCTGTGCCTTTCTTTCTTGGACGTTATTGGAATGGTGATATACTGGTCTAGAAATGGATTGCATACGCCAACACTTTTACAGCCAGTATGTTGAGTGATTTCTAAGCAAAACAACCCATTGAAAGAACCGATAACATCGGAATTATAGCCAGGAAACTTGCATTTATTAACCGCGGTGTGCTGGGGCTGGAATCAGATTCTTTAAACAACAATAAGCTATATGGTTTATTAAATCAAAACTGGGGAAAAAAAAAAGGCTTGATGGGTGAAAGAGTAACTTGATGCAATCCCTAACCAAGAGAAATTGGCGACACTTGTTATACAGTATATTAAAATAATAATTCAGCACATCAAAATCAAAGTTTTTTCATGCTCAATGCGCTTTCAAAACTCATCTCAACGTCAACTTGGATCTTAGATATTATTAATCCTCAACTATAATCCTCGTAGGAGTAAATTTCTGATATGCATTGGATACCGATTCCTGGCACTAATTGCTCAAGCAGTAGAATAAGTTTTTAGATCCCTAAAAAGCAGTGAAGGAAAATATGAAACATGTAGGAAAACAACGATTACTATGATAATTGGTGGGTACATTGTTGGTTTGGAAGGGTCTAAATCCCTAAAGCAAATATTTGGGCATTAACGATCGATTGGAGAGACAATAGATGATGAAATATGTCAGAGACAGTTCTGCAAATTAGGGACAAAACTTTCGCAGATTTCTATGGAAAATAAATAAATAAATAAAGAATTTCATCAATGATAGAAGCAATAACATACAATTATCTTTTGATATTAATCCATGTCGTACCTTCTGTCCCACTGCAAATTTCTCAAAGGGCAGAACAAAAATCTTCTTTTATTCGTAATAAACCCATCGCTGTCACATGCTTGGCTGTGAGGAAGATGGCAACCACCAAAACTATCAAGATTTTTCTTTTTTTGGTCACACCAAATTATCAAGAATTTGACTAGCGCATTCGCTTCTCTTCAAGAATAGACGACAAACTTTTGTTTTTTTAACTTGCCTAAATTAATCTGCGAGACCCCTCTGCTTAAAAACATCGAGCATAGCAACACCAATTTTTGCAGGAGACTCCACCACAGTAACTCCAGCTTCCCTTAGAGTCTTGATTTTGTCTTGTGCGGTACCTTTTCCACCTGAGACAATAGCTGCACAGAGACCAAAAATAAAAATGTCAAGGCCAATAGGGTACCGAGCGAACTTGGCATCCAGTAAATAACAAGTTAAAATTTACAATCAAATAGAAATCTATCATTCAGGCTAGCATCATCACCTATACAGGTTAATAAAGACCTCAATTCAAGATAGCGATATATAAGCCAGAAATACTCTAAAGTTAATTAAAGTAAGCAGAATAATTGTTGCTCATTTTTTAAGATTTCTTTGCAATAAAACAGTAACCTCAAAGGACTCCATGTGTAGAATTATCTCCATCCCCCATATGTTCAAGTCGCCATTAGAATGTTATAGTTGCACAAAAGTTTAAATTTCCACAATTTTGCAAAGTCTATGGTTTAAACTCTTCTTGTTAATCCCACCATCTGTTGAGGTTAAGACCCATTACAGTGCCATGCTGCAGCCATTTCAAAAAGTTGGAGCTAATTATCATAGAAAAACCTGCAATCTTCTACTGACAACTTGTACATAGGATTATTATTTTGTTGTGCAAAAGCTTCAGCACCTTTTGGGAAACATAAATTTAAGAATAATGAACCACAATGAATTCAAACCCCTTTAAACCTCCCAGCAAGACGCTACATTCATCTTGGAATTTTTTAGGCCACCCTGCTACTACTTCAATCTCTATGAATGCAAACCCACATAGATGTGCACACAAAATGCAAGCATAAAATTAATATAAAGTGCACGACCAAGAACATTATACCTCCAGCATGTCCCATACGACGGCCTGGTGGCGCTGTTTGTCCAGCAATGAAGGCCGCAACAGGCTTCTCAGTTCCACTTTCCTGTTCAAATGAATTCGATTTGATCACATATAAACAGACAACAAAAAAAATCCAGTAGCAATAATGCAGCAAGAATCTCCTAAGATACAATCTACAAAGAAATAACTTATATACCCTACAATTTATAATAAAACGTTGACTTATCTAATGTCCACAATAATTTATTTTTTCTCTGATAATGAAGCATGCCCATGAGATTTTCTGAAATTATAGCAGTCAAAAACTTTAAAGACTCGACACAAACACATTTGAACAGAAACCGAGACTGTTGACTATATAACCTTTATCAAAGACTTATATACTCACGTCACTAGCACTCTTTAAAACACATTATCAACAACCCCAATTCAATTCTCACAAATAAAAATCATAAAATCAACTGACAGGGAAACATGGACAAGCAATGGCTGAATCATCAATCAAAAAATATGAGTGAAAGGATATCTCAGTCATTAGATCTGTTCAACCTCAGTTCTTTCAAAAATAAAGAGGCATGTGGAATTTGTCTCTCCTCCCCCTTAACAGAGGTTTTGCTTTAGTAATAAAAATAAAAATAACCATTTCTTTAATTAAAGGACAATAGACACAATCGAACTAACAAATCTGACAACCTATATATATATATAATTTAAGTCAACTACAGAAGAACTCATAGCATTTCATGACCCAATAGATCCCATATTCCCATCAATTTTTTACAAAAATATAAGATAATTAATTTACAGGGACTTGTTGTAATCCAGTTACAAAATTGAATATATATACAAAATCCATGTTCAAACTGAAACCACCAATTAATAGATGGCCATTACCTTTATTAATGCAGCAGCATCCTCTTCTGCAGTCCCACCTATCTCTCCTATAAGAATGATGCCTGAAATGCATAACGCAATTCTAGTTCACATGTATATCCTGTTTGTCCACTATCTACTGCAATTCTTTCTGACACATCCATGGAGTATCAACATAAATAAAGGAAAAACAGAGTAATACAATGAAAAAATTAAAAAGAAGTGGAGAAAGTAACCAGTAACCACCCCCACCCAAAAAAAGCAAAGAAATAGAAAATCAAGAACGTAGAAACTGAAAGGTGGTTTTGGAGAAACTCATTTATCAATAATGAGATAACTCATTCTCCGAAGAAAACAAATACAAAATACAGATACCATATAACTTTACCCTAAAACTTTATCTAAGAGTTTGAGGCCGCAAACAGAGACTGACAACATGGACACTTCAAAGCATCTAAGTAATAAAACAGCAAGGTTAATCAAGAGACTAAATTGTTACACTTTCAGACAATGTGCTTCAGGTCTCTGCACACAAACAGCTCCTACAGCATGGGCAATGAGCAAAAACCTCAAACAAACAGGGGAGACAAAGAATACAAAAAAAAAAAATGTATATATCTTCAGCTCCTAAACTGCCAAGTTCTAAATCATCAACAGTAAAGCATGCTCAATGACACAGTTGATATGAACATAAATGAGTTTGTGTCTTTTTATGTGTGTGAAAGTTCCTAGCAACAAATTCTGCCACATTCTTCATTTGCAAATAGTTAAAGCAAGCAAGAAAATATTTCTGAGAACAATTTACCTTCTGTTTGAGAATCTGCAAGGAACTTCTCTATACAATCAACAAAGTTTGTTCCATTGAAAGGATCTCCTCCTATACCAACACAAGTGGATTGTCCAAGGCCAACAGCAGTTGTTTGGAAAACCTAAAAAAGTAAAAATAAAAAATTGCACCTGTAAGGTCGTAAACAAATAAAATAACAAGTAGCTTATGACAAAAAGAAACTACTGAAGTCACAAAGCCTCAATGACATCGATTAAAAATCGAAGCAGATGGACATATAAAACTCTCATTTTATATTCAAGGAAGCAATTTGTGTATTTGAAGGTGTACTTGGGGAAAACACACAAACTTTTTTTATAGGAAAACAATGTCTTACTCTTCAAACAATCAATTGAAAGAGCGAACCAAACTAACATCTTATCAACATATCATCATGACATCAAATCAGGCCTTACCGCTTCATAGGTCAAAGTACCGGATCGAGAAACAATTCCAATACGACCAGGTTTATGGATGTAACCAGGCATTATACCTATTTTACATTCTCCTGGTTTAATAATGCCAGGGCAGTTTGGCCCAATCAACCGAGTTTTAGATTGCCTGTTCAGAGCAGCCTTCACACGTACCTGAAATTTGTCGACATTATCTCAAAATCACTTCCAGAAGAACAAAGAAAAAACAAAAACAAACCTAAAAACCAAGCCAGTAATCAACTGCATGTCGATTCAAAATCCAACCATGAATCAGTATATTTACCACATTTAATTTATCCAGAAACCATTAATAAAACTAACAATAAAATAGTTCGAGTTAAACAAATTTGAACACAGCCAACCAAATTATCAGACTTCCAAACGATAAATCACCATATCGCTGAACTAATGTAATTTCATTTCCAAAATTAAAAAAAAAAATCAATTTTACCATATCATGCTGAGGAATTCCTTCAGTAATGCACACAACAAGATCCAATTCAGCTTCCATTGCCTCCAAAATTGCGGCCGCAGCAAATGGCGGAGGAACATAAATGACAGAAGCATTAGCCTTGGTTTCCGCCTTTGCTTCCGCCACTGTGTTGAAAACCGGAAGCCCTAAGTGCTCCGTCCCTCCCTTCTTTGGCGTGACACCTCCTACCTACCTCACCAAACAATCAAACAAACCGCACTTTAAGATTTGCTCACCGCCACGTCTCTCTTCTATGTAACAATTTTCCAAATATCAAAAATTAAATTATCAAAAATAATAAAAATTAAATTTGAATTATAATTATAAAAATAAGAAATGCATAAGAAATTTGCTGTACCATTTTAGTGCCGTACTCGATGGCTTGTTCGGTGTGGAAAGTGCCGTTTTTTCCAGTGATGCCTTGGCAAATCACGCGAGTGTTTTTGTCTACGAAAACCGCAGGTGGTGGTGGTGGAGGTGCCGCATAATAGCGAGTCTGCGACCGTGAGAGGTTGAAGAGAGAAGGGGTGGAGGAAGGCTTGCGTGACGCGATCGAGCCGAGTAGTTTCGCGACGGCTTGACGAGTCATCGGATTTTGGAGAAAAAGGTTCTGCTCACTGAGTTGGAGAGCGAAAAAGCTGGTAATTAAATTAAAACTAATTTTAAAAAAAAACCATTGTTTACCGTACATGGCCAGAGTATTGACTATTGATGTTTTTTCCACTACAGTAACAACAAATGAAGTGAAAATAAGGAGTCAAAATAGTTTTTAATATTTTAATAAATATAAATATTATTTACGAAAAAGTGAACTCGTGAGAGCGTAGATTGTCCTTCTACTTTGGGTGGCGCCTGCACCGTTACCGGCGGCCAAACATCAGCATGTAGAGCAGAATTGGAATCTACTTGATGACCTATTCATGCCAGGGCGGCATGTGTAAGGAACGGACCTTGTTCTGGTGCAAGTGATGTTTTTTTTTTCTTTTCTCATTCTTTATTTTTAATTTTTGAAAGTAACCTTTTAATTTTTGAAAGTGACTTTTTAATTTTTAATTTTATCTTTATTTTTTCATTATTATTTATTTGATTTAAAGTAATTTATAAAATTTAAATTATTTTTATTTCATTGTTTTTAATTATTTTTCATCTATTATATTTATTCTTAATTTTTATAGTACTTTTTTATATTTTCTTGATTTTTTATTTTTTATTTTATCAATAATTATTTTATATTATTTATGTTTTTATATTAGATTTGGTTTTTATTCTTTTTATTATTATTTATTTCTTTTAATTTTGATTGATTGAGAATTTTATTTTATAATTTTTATAAATTTGTCTTTTATAAGGTACCCTGATATATCCCGGTTACATAACAGGTAATGAATTTTTAAAATTAGTTTGATTTGACTCAGATTTTTTAACATTAGATTATTGAGTGATTTTTATAGCTTTTGTTTTTTAAAATTATCTCAATTTCATATCTTAGATCTCGAATTAGTTAAATTAACCTTAGTTAATTGACTCAGGTTTTTTTGAATTTTTTGAATTGATTTTTTTAAATTTTAACTTTCATTATCTAGTTTATATAATAGTTGACTTTTATTATTTTATTTATTTTTATTGTATGGAGTTATCTTGACCTTATAAGTGGGTCGCAAGTTTGACATGTTAATTATAATTAGGTTTTTTTAATTCTTTTTAAAGTTGATTTTTATTTATTTATCCTTTAGTGTTTTATTTACCAGTAATTAAGCTTCATTTTTTTTTTAATTTTTCTTTCTACAAAGTTATCCCGTTCTCATTTATTTTTTATTTTATTATTAAATAAAATTTTGATACCTTTTAAAAATAAAGAGTATTTTTTTTATAATAATAGCAAACATTTATTTTTTTTATTAGTTATTATTTGTTTTTTATTTTTTTATTGTCATTTGCTTTTTTATAATCATATTTTTAAATTAAATAAGCTTATTGAACATATTTGAATCAATATCATGAGTCTCAGATTTTTCTTGTTTTTTTTTTTAAGCGTTATCATTATTTGAGCATCATTTTTTTTTATGTTATGAAAAAATTGACTCGGCCTACAATGTAACGCAAGTCATTTATCTAATAAAAAAGTTAAGTTTTTGTTACTATATCGGGATAGAAAAGATAAAGATAACATGAACATAAAATATATTTGGTTGATGAAGCACGTAAAGAGACATAAAAAAATTTTTGTCCCTCATATAATTTCAAAATAATTTTTTGTATTTTTAGAATATGAGGTATCGAAGAAACATGCCTTCTAGAGACAATATTTATTATTTCTTACCTCTAAAATATACATGTAGAAAGCTTTTCTAAAATTATTCAACTAAGATATATAAAAATAAAAAATATTATTATAATAATTTTAAAACTTATTTTGAGACAAGACTTGAGTCACAAGGTAAAGGGATCGGCTCATGACTTGAGTTAAAGTAATTTCTTTTTAAAAGAATGAAAATGATGTCATTTGGATAAATAAAAGAAAACCAAACCATGTCAATGAGTTTTCTATCATAGGCTGACTGGAACATAGCTGACCAAGGTTTTTTATCAAGTTAGTCAATTCAATTTTTTCTCTATTTTCTCTTAAATTCAAATTAATTTGGATTTAGGGTCAATTAAATCCCAAAACAGTCAGGTTTTAGATTGACCCTCTCAAGCTAGTATGAGTTTTATAATTATGATTATTATATTATTATTAATTTTAATATTTAATATATATTATGAATATCATTTCATGTATCATAATTTTTTTTAATCAAGAAATAAAAAGATCTTTATTATTTATAAAATTTATAATCTAAGAAAAATATGAACTGATAAATAATAAATAAAAAAATTAACACTAATTAAATATTAAAATATGAATTTAATATTTATAGTAGGAATAAAAGATAGATGCACTAAAAAATATTTTGCATTAACAGGTATTTTTACTTTAAATATCTTCATTCATTTTATCTTAGCAGCTAAATATTTTTACTAATAACAATTGTTTTTTATTTTTGTAAAAACTTTAATATAGTTAATTCATATAAAATATAAGAAAGAAAATCCAGATAATCCCTCCAAAGCATCACACAACTAAAAAAAATATAAAAAAAATTAATTAATATTTAAATAGAAATAATTAATGGAAAGGGGTAGAAAAAAATAAGAGCAAGCGTTGTTGAGTCAGGACCATGTATCTAGCCTTCATAAAAAAGCTCAAGCCCGTGCTCGGATTTTTTTTATTTTTTCTCTCAGGAACTGTTTGCTTTTGTATTTTATTTTTCTTTAAGGTGAGCGGCGAGTTATTTTTTCAATCATCTCTAGTGAAAAATCCGTGCTTTTAGATCCCAGAAACCCAATTTCCATAAAGATAAAGATCATAATCGAATTCAACAAATAATTTCTCAACAAGTTCATGGACGGTGAACCCTTACTTTGTTAGAAAAATGAAGGTACGAGTAAATTAAAAAAAAAAAATTAATTTATCATGTAAGCATCCACTGCAGCCAACTCACCCCCAACGTTGAATCTATCTTGTTTGCCTAAAAGTCATTGCCACCCTAACCAATTACAATCTTGCTGGTCTTCTGCGTTAGTTGAAGTTGAAGATGGAGAAGATATGTGTTAGCAGGTCAATAGAAGTCATCACTTGCTAGCTAGTAATTTCCACGACTCAAGGCATCATCATGTTGTTTGAATATCACCTCGGCAGAACCTCCATGATCCATCATCTCGCCTTTTTAGAACATAGAGAATCTTGTAGGTGCTGCAATGGATATTATGCACAAAAATACTAGGAAAGTATTAGAGCAATATACTCCGGAATTCAGGCTTCAGAGTAATATTGAGACTTCCCTGTTAGCGGATTTGGTTAAAAGTTTGAAAAGGATAAAAGGAATAGGCGAATTATGCAGAAACACTACTAGGCATACCAAGATTCGTTTATGACTGATTCGTGAACTACATGATTCGTTTATGACTGATTCTTGAATATCTTTTTTTTTATTGTTCTTTATGTGGAGGAGTCAAGAGAATTCTACATGTTCATTGAAGTCGAGACTCACGAGTATTTCAGAACTGATGTGCAACATGGATATACTGACCTGTAATAGTTCGGGTTCTTCTGCAGAGATTCATCAACCAGCTCTGCTGCTTCCTCAAGGAGAGCTTCGACTTCTGCAATCTCAACACCATATCCATCCGAGAAAATATGAGCTTGAAGAATGGACAGTTGCAGCAAAACAAATCTCCAATAAGAGGACTGGGCTTTTGCTGCATCAGCTAAAGCTTGCCACTGTGGATCAAAAACCCAAACAAAGCAAGCAATTTCTCAACAGTTTGAACATCTAGGAAAGACACAGGAAGTGAGAATTTATAGTTACTCTGGCAATGTATTCCCTTACATCATGCACAAAAATACAGAGAACCTGTATCTACACAGCTTGACAATCAAACAAAATATCAGTAGTCTACTTAATTATTGCCAATTTAATATTTTCTCAAACTCGGTATTAGATTGTTCTGCAAATGATATCCTAGAATGGAGGCTAAATTTTGATAATATTCATTCTTTACTGAAATTAATGTTGAAACCACAATTGAAATCTTTGGTTCGGGCCACAAGTACGCAACAAATTATCTACACTGCATTCAACTACAACAATGAATAACCTGATTGATTAGCTGTTATAAAACAAGGAAAGTGAATTATGTTTTTGCTATTTGAAATGTCACTTAGCTGGGCAAGTTACTGTAATCAGATGAACCAAAAACTGAATTGCATCTTCAAAGCCACTTGTTCAGCTTAACAAGATTAGAGAGGCAGGTTAATGATTGGATATGTTACCACAACAAATATGTTTTACCTGGGCAAGCATGGACTCATCAAGGACTTCAGAGAGGCTGTGAACTTGGTGGCCAGGACCCAGAGCTTTGGCTTTAATTGCTTGCCAATGCTTAACGAGAGCTTCAGCTTCTTCAACAGGCATTTGCTTCCTAGATATTGTTGCAATAGAAGATGATATACTAGCAGCAAGCCTCGAACCTTGCAATCTTTTAGCATATGATCGGTTTCCAAACTGCACTTTAATCATGGACAACAGATTTCTCAATCTGCTAAAAATACCACTTTGACTAATATAAACAGGGTGAACATTGCGATCAAGAGAAGAATCTGTTGTCCAGGCAAGGGTACTGGTGCCCATACTAGTTCTATCAGAGGTTAATCTAGATGCAATTCTCATCCTTCCCACATTCATGCCTGACAGTTTAAAAGTAATAAACACAATACACCCTAATACTCCAACAAAACTAATTTTTGCAACCAGATCTTCACGTTCTAACCAACTTTTCCAAGTTCCTCTATTGTAAACACCAAGATCTCTCTTCAATTGAACTGATGGTTCATTCACATTGCTTCCACTGGCATTCTTGGTCAATATCAATGAGCTTTGCAGATCAGTTGGAGCTAATTGCTTGACAGCAGACCTGAAGTGTTGAGAAGAGTTCATATGTGGAATTGTTTCCCCAGCATCCATTCGTTTCATTGCAATGTCAGACAGTGGTCGATGGGATACAGGAGCAGTGGCTTGTGCAGCTATTCTACTTTTCTTGCTTGCAACAGCTCTCCTTTCACCACCAAAAAAGCTCACCTGTTGAAAAGTATATT